GTTTGAAACACGTTCAAAAACGAATTGTGTCGGGTTCCAAAATCGTAAAAGAACACGAACGATAAAGGTTTGTAATCCTTTTTGAAATGTGCCGTCGATATTTAATGTCTTCATGCAATTTTGTATCCGTCGTGTAGTCTGTTGATCCGAATTGTATCTATTAATAAAGTGGAGAAGCAGATCTTTTACACTAACCGAACGCAGCAGGAAATCAAAATTTGGCAGCTTTTTCAATCATGAGGAGTCGAGGAAAAATCAATTTGACATAGTTCTAATATGAAAAAGCCTTTTTTCCTTGCATAGGCAAGTTTCAATTAAATATCCAGGGGAAAAAAATCTTTGCTTTTTCTTTTGTTTGTTGTCAAAAAGGTCCTTGAAGGTCAAACGCTTATTAAAGAAATATTTTTTTATTTCTTTACCCTAGGATTATATCGTTTACCCTCTTAGAATTCTGCTTTTGTTCCTTGAGCACTACTTAGCTTGAAAAATTAAGATTCCGGTGGAGATGAGAATTGCTGGCGAGTACACTATAGGTACTGCAGTTTCGAAATAATTGGGTTTTGCCAAAAGTAGCAATTATTAGATTGTACATGAAAACTGTCACTTTTTATTTAATAAAAGAAGCAGTGTTTTATTCGAATTTTGGCTACAAATTTATTTACTATTCATCCGCCGTCACTCTCTATAGCTTTCACCAATCTTTCGACCCTTTTCTTTACTTAGTCTTCTCAAAGGGTTTTATCTCTGTAGTTTTGGAAGAACTCAACTATCTATTTTTTTTTTGGCGCACTCTTTATTATTATATATGAGCGTTGTAAATTTCACTCGTCAAGTGTTAATCCATTAGCACGACGTCTGAAAGATATGGAGTGAGCGGAAGGGCCTTTGATTTAAACTTTTGCAGCCCGATCTTAACGACCTTTGCCTAGTGTGGTATGTCATTGTTATAGGGAAAAAGAACTTCATCTATCAGACCTTCTTTATTCTCATTCTACCTTGCTCATTCTACGCGAATCAGCCATATACAGAATTATTTTGATCGTCCTGTCTTTCCCAAATATTTTGTAATAAGTATGTAAGACGCTTCCAATTTCATTAAATGCAAACCATGTTGTTAGCAGGGTGGAAATTAAATCCGGTCCTCGACGTATCTATCGCGGCATCCCATTTCGTTCTCGGCTTCATTTCGACGTAAAGATAGAACTTGTCTTTTTTTTTGCTCGTCCTACGTCTGTGTAGAAACTTGTCATTATGTTTTGCCTCCTAGACGGGATGGTGAGCGACAATGAAACGCCATGTTTCCTTTTGCTTTTCATTAACCTTACAAGAGCCTCGTAGTTCCAGTAAATCCTGCAGATTCAAGACTGCCAACAATCATACGGCTTTAGCTCATCTTTTCGGCCATTTCACGAGTCGTTTGCTGCGGCAATGCAGAGGTACCTGCCTATACGTGCTTTTCATCGGGTTCGAATGACGGACCGCGGTGGAGTGCATACTTCATTCATAGGATGCCACCATTGCTGAACTGCCGCTTTTGAGGCGTCTTTTCATGTATCGGGTTCACGCAGTGCACGGCACAAGTTACCCGGGCTGTTTCCGTAGCTTGGTGGCCGTATCTATATAAACTGAATAAACTATCTATATAAACTGAATAAAGTATATACCAAGAAAAGCATACGTTCTTTCATGAACTAAGATTTCACGCTTTCCACAGTGAAATCGCAATTTCGAATGAAATATCGAAAGAAATAATAGAACGGCAAACGTGAAATAGAACATTTGTAAGAGAAATCGTGATCATTTTGCCTTCTAACCTAGTTACTCCGTATTCATGTTAAAGGGTTCATGAAAAATCTGTTTAGGTTAAGTTTAGGGATTTCTTGATGCTCAAATATTTTTAATGAACTTGAGAAGTCTTTCTATTACAGGTTTTAAACCTGCCACTTTTACACTTTTTTTTTTACTATTTTTCAAAGGCTGATCGGTTTAGAAGAGCCCAGCTACAGGCTTCTGTGGCTTGCTACGAGGCATTTTAAAAATCTTATGCGGACGTTGGTAGTGCCCGTAATAGCTTAGTGGGTAACTAAGCCTAAGATTAAGATCTTAGGCACACGTGGTGACCTAGGTTCGAATCCAGAAATAGACATGCCTGTTCTGAGCCGTCTGATGGGACCGCGGCAGTGCGGGGCGTAAAACTTGAAACGTCTAGTTCAAGTAAAGGATGCAATAAGATTCGCCCTCCTCAGTCGTTATAGCTAGTTCATGAGCCACTGAGCGGCCATCGTAAACCCCAATAACTTGAAAAGTCAGAGGGTCTCAGTTATGAGTTTAGCCCAAAAACCGCGTACTTATAAGTGGCGGACGTCGGTGTATGCATGTACGCCACTTCGACGGGAAATTCTTTCTGTTTTTGATCTCTATACAATTCTGGTTCAGTTATGCAACAGAGATGCAAACACATGGTCTCAAAACTGTTGTTGTTGTTGTTGTTGTTCCTCTTTCCTGCGTAAATTCAGCTATTCACCGAAATTCTGCCACGGCCTAGTCGAATTTGCACGTAAATGTGGCCGCCATCCCTCAAATGCTTTAAAACTTGAATATTCAAGTTACATTATACACAAATGATACTACTAAATGGTACTACAACTTACACTAGCTTAAAACTATGTTCCTAATTAGTTTGAAAAATGGACATGCAGATAATACTACAAAGACAAAAAAGACACGCGTATTTTATGAATAACTTTTTTTTTCTTAAATGAAAATGTCTATTATCATTATTGTCATTAATTCTTTTATCGTTCTTTTCGTAACTGTTGCTCATACCAATCAATGCCTTCCATTCTGGCTTCAAATAATTCCACACACACATATAATTTGTTATTTGTTTCTCACATACATTTCACACTGGCGTTCGTAAATTCTGCCTTGGTTTTTTGCCGTACCTCGGCTTTCATACAGGGACGTCCATCAGAATATTTCTTCATATATATATATATAATTAATACCATTTTATTATTTACAGAGACTATATCTATAATTCAGTCATTATGTACTTTCTACACTAATAATACGCACTATTAATGCGTGCGGTTCCACCCATTCTGCTGAATAAATTCAACACACACTTTATGTCCCCCATGTTTCAGTCATGATTTTGGTTCGTCTCACTCATAGTCGCATTCAGCCTACGAAGAAAAAAGGTCGATTTGTGGTAAACAGTTTCCCCGCCCTTTCCTCCGTGCACCAGATAATTCTCACAGTTAAGTTTAGTAAAAGCACCTGTGCTCAAGGTCCTCTTTTTTCGTGTGAAGTGTGCAAAGACGTTTGATAATAACAAAATCAACTAATAGCTACTTCCAAGTCAGACGACGCAATAGCAATCTAGGTCGTGAATTGACTAATTCCTCAAATAAAGTCAACAGTTTCAGCGACTAATGTTTTGAAAAATGTACTCGTGTATTCGCTATTCGATACTAGTGGACACGGAAACTTCGTAAAAAACCTTCTTCTAAGAATTAAAAAAAATCTTTGAAGCCTAGCACAGTTGATATCTCAACGATAAACACTATTTTTTTTTCATCTTCTTACGGAGACTTATACGCAAAATACGGCTTTATCAAGTTAATAAAATATGTGTACTCCTTTCTCAAGCAAATATACCAGCACGTGATGCTTAATGATTATGAATAATAATGGTGATGACTTTTTGCGCCTTTTATATATATACTTATATATATATAAGTATATTTTTTTTATATATATGTTTCTGATATATATATCAGCATTATACGGAGCCCTACACATAAACCAGCCTTTCCCTTTGTCTATACCAAGAATATATAATCTGTATCAGAATCCAGCGTTAACAGATTCCACAGCATGATACATTTGTACCGAATACTCTGATTTGGCCACAGAAGCTTGCTACGAGGTAACTGAAGGCTAGTCAATTATGACTAACGGTATCATTGTCCCGAGGCAGTGGCAAAGCAAAGAGCCCATAGACATGGGTAACGAAGAGACGAAAAAAGTGGCACTGTCATATGTAAACCGGAGTCGTGTAGACCGGAAGTTAGTCCTCGTTTTACCTGTTTCGCGCTATCAGTAGTCCCATTATACCTTGTCTTTCGCTATTCACTTCTACCACGCTAGAGCTAGCTATGCCAGCTTTGACTGGTACGCCTGTGCTTTTAATCGAGATTATTGAAAATCCTTGACAACATCAACAAAACAGCAGCCGCATACGCAAAACCGGTAAGCACTGTACCGGCGGCTGCGCCGCTGTCAGCAGCGGCACCCAGCGGCAGTAGTAAAAGCGGCTGTAATAGTAGGCCTGAGTCATCGGCCATCTGTAGCGGTCTGCCAGCCAGTCTCCAAGAGCAAGTGAGCTTCGCTCATGCCGGGAGTATTCCAAAGCACCAGTGACTATCGCTGTGTTACTATCGGTAATTCTTGACTAACGTCCATTATTTTACTTTAACTGTTCAGTCTGTGTGTGTGTGTGTGTGTGTGTGTGTGTGTGTGTGTGTGTGTGTGTGTGTGTGTGTGTGTGTGTGTGTGTGTGTGTGTGTGTGTGTGTGTGTGTGTGTGTGTGTGTGTGTGTGTGTGTGTGTGTGTGTGTGTGTGTTTGTGGTGTTGGTT